AAAAAGGAATATGTCAAACAAGTGGAGTCTAGTGATTAGAGTAACCCTCAGTGTGTTTCGGTTTCCAAATGTAGCCATCTACTGTTAATCAAAAAGATAGTTCAAACTTTTATGATTTTGAAACTCTGCTTCTGATACCACTTGTGAGTCCAGTAATAGGTTGTTAAGCCTAAGAAATGCTCCCAAGGCTACCAAAAGAGGGGGTAGAATTGGTAGTTTTTAAAATTTTTAAACCCTCTAATTAATAAAGTTGAACCGAAAATAAATTTTCTTTAAAGTTAGTGAGAAAAATGTTTTTTCAACCACAGATTGTTTAAACTGAATTTAAAGTGCGAAACGTAAATAAGCTATTAAAGTAAATGACACCAATTTATAATGGTTCGGTCTAGTAACCAGAGCCTACAATCCACTCCTCAAGAGCACCTTGAGTATGTGCACTAATACCAATAGTGACTCACTTTTTGCACTCACAGCGAAGGAGCCGTGAGAAAGCCCTATACAACACCACACTCTTTTTCACCACTCCGCCTGGTGCGTAGAAGAACCGTCCATCCTTTTACACAAAACCCATAGTTGGCAGAGGAACCGTCGTTCCTTTCACACCCTCCAAGTGTAGGCAAGAGAACCTTCGTCCTTTCACACTCTCCTAGTTTGTGGGCAGAGAACCCCTATCGTCTGTTCACACTCTCCAAGTGGAGGGCAGAGAACCCTTGCTGTTCCACACTCTCCAAGTGTCGGCCAGAGAACCGGTATCTCCTTGACAGATCATTCTCAAAGAATCTAGAAGAAGAAAGAAAAAAGTGAAGATGAATATTCAAATTCACAAAGAGAACTCTTACCTTAGCAATCCAAGTGAAGACCTTTCTCGCTCCAGTGTAGGAAATCCTTCTTTAGAATTGCTGCTCTTTCCACTCTCTCTTAGCATTCTCCCAAAGAGGTACGAAAGATCAAATGGACAAAAAGATTGTGGCAGTCTAATTTGACCTATTTATAAAAAGACAAAGGTGAAAACCGCCCAAAAAACTTGCAAATTTTTCAATTCTGTACGTAGGGATCGTCCTGTACGATCCTGATCTCCTGTTACATTTTACGTTTAAACGTGTATCTGATAACGAGACCCAATTTGATATTTGTACGAAACTGACTTTCGTGACAGGCTGATCGTCCTGATTTACGAACATGGTCGGTCCGATACGAACCGTTATGTACAAGTCGTTCTAAAAAACTGCTGGAAAAACTTTCTAAGTCTTTATCGGTATGTAACAAAATTTGATCCGTCTGGAACGGAAAAATTTCGCCATAGAGCGTCGTCCTGGACGATTATTTATTTCTTTGACAAAAATTCCAGAGAAACAATCGCCGCGACCATTAATTTTTGTTGTTTCGTTCTGGACTGAAATAATTTGTGTAGAAATTTGCTGATCGTCCTGTACATTTTATTGTTCGTTTTACCGAAATATTTTCCAAGAGGACTGTTCGCCCTTACTGATTGTAATATATCATTGTCTGACTGATTAAATTTGCAGTAACCCATCGCCTGGACCGATGATAAATTTCGTCCTGCACGAATAGACTTAGAAAATTTTTTCAAAGCAATAGTTTCCTATTCGTTCCAATGCTCTAATAGAGATAACTGGACAGAATCGTCCAGTACGATAAAATATCGTTTCGCTGTAACGATCAGTATAAATTTCAAGAGTCTCCTTATTTGTGTGTGAAGATTTTATTCACTCAATGTTACAAACACTCCCCTATTGCAAAGATTAATTCAAAGAAAAGTACAAACATTCTAATTAAACAAAGATATTCTCCATGTTGAATTTGAATTGAAGTTTTCGTAGTCTGGAGTCTGATTTTCCTGAAATGTTAAGTACACACAAGTAGCAAGTGCCATAAGCTATCTGAAATGCTTTAAGAGAATAACCTAACATTTTGAACAATAATGTTTGGAATCATCAAAACTAACAGAAGTTCATAAATTTATATAAATATAACTCATTCAAATAGCAACTATTCAAACAAGGTACATAAGATTGAAGAACTCTCCACTCTTTATCTACCTCCTCTGAAGAAGGGGACTGCACCTGGAAATGTATTGTATTCCACGGGAGTACGCGAAGAGAAAAATAATGATTAGTGTTGTATGCTCCTCGATTCTGAAGAATCATTTCCTACGAGGCTACCTAGGTTCAATACCAAAAATATTCAAAGAATGCTATAAAAGCAAATCAATATTCCTACCACTAAACGATAGCTTCGTACAAGCTTGGGCCTCTGGTATGGAAGAAATTCACATCCATTACGACAAAAGGATATAGACGCATATAAGGGCATCGGATTCATCAAACAAAAATTCCTCCCGAAAGAGATGTGTCGGACAATCATATGTATGGAAATTGAATCCAATGATGGTGGCACTGATGAGATTTACGAAGCTGATGCTTATGATGATCAACCTGTGGAAGCCAAGCCTGCACAAGAAGAGCTTGAAGATGGTGGACAGGCAGCCACTATGGATGAACTAAAAGAAGTCAACTTGGGGACTAAGGAGGATCCTCGCCCAACCTTCATTAGTTCTCTCCTACCCGAAGAATAAATAGAAGAAATAAAAGAGCTCCTCTGTGAATTCAGGGACTATTTTGCTTGGACATATGCTGAGATGCCTTGCTTATCCCCTGAAGTGGCAATTCACATATTGGCAATCAAGCCTGATGCAGCACCCGTCAAATAAGCTCCAATGAGAATGAGATTGGAGATTGAAGAGCATGTGATTGCAGAAACAAAGAAGCTCATAGAAGCATACTTCATTTTTGAAGAAAAATATGCCGAGTGGATTGCAAATATTGTCCCTATAAAGAATAAGAATGGACAGATTCGTATCTGCATCGACTTCATGAACCTCAACAAGGCATGTCCGAAAGATGACTTTCCACTCCCAGTATCAGAACTTCTAGTTGACAATACGTCCAACTACGATATGTTCTCCTTCATGGACGGATCATCGGGCTATAATCAGATTAAAATGACGCATGAACATGAAAGACATACATCATTCAGAACGCCTATAGGCATATTCTGCTACATAGTTATGCCATTTGGCCTGAAGAACGCTGGTGCCACTTATCAACGGGCGATGACTCGTATATTTGATGATTTGATTCATCAGAAAGTCGAATGCTATGCAGATGACTTGGCCATTAAAAGCTTGGACCGAAAAGATCACCTTGATGACTTGAGGACAGTGTTCGAAAGGATAAAAAAATATGATCTGAAGATGAACCCTCTCAAGTGTGCATTCGGGGTCTCCTCCAGCAAATTCTTGGGATACGTTGTTCGACATCGAGGCATCGAAGTCGACCCCAATAAGATCAAGGCGATCATGGAGATGCCACCTCCAAAGAACCTTCGACAACTCCGCTCCTTACAAGGGCAGTTTGCTTTCCTTCAGAGATTTATATCGAATCTGTCGGGTAGGTGCCAGCCGTTTTCAAAGCTAAGAAGAAAGATGTCTGTTTTAAATGGGATGAAGAGTGCGAAGAAGCATTTGATAGCATGAAAAGATATATGTTGAATCCTCCTATTCTCGTGGCGCCAATCCCGGGGAAGCCTCTTATACTATACACGGTAGCCCTAGAAGAGTCCCTCGGAACATTATTGGCCCAGCATAATGAAGAAGGAAAAGAGAATGCGCTCTACTACATCAGCCGAAGGTTGATAGGAGCAGAAATCTACTACTCTCCAATCGAGAAGCATTGTTTGGCTTTAATTTTTGCTGTTCAGAAGCTCCGTCATTATATGCTATCTCATAAAATCAGCTTGATATCAAAGATCGATCCGTTGAAGTTTCTCATAACAAGACTAGCGTTGACATGTTGTTTGGCAAGGTGGGAAGTGATTTTACTACAGTTTGATATCACATACGTGCCATAGAAAGCAGTAAAAGGGCAGGTGTTAGCAGTCTTTCTCACAGCACATCCTATTCTTGAGGATTCACCACTCAACGATGATCTACCTGACGAGCAGATCAAGAATGTCAATGAGGAGGAGATGCTACGAGTATGGGAAATATACTTTGAATGAGCATCATCAATTAAATGTGCTCGGCCTCCAAATCTAGAGAAAGCTCAAGCCATAATCGGACTCATTTTCGTGGCGCCCGAGGGAGGCATAATGAGATTCTCTTTCAGCTTGACTGAATCTCGGACCAACAATGAAGCTGAATATGAAGCTTTAATAGCAAGATTGGAGATTTCAATCAATGTTTGAATCCAAAATCTCCAAATTTTCAGTGATTCTCAACTTATTGTAAATCAAGTACTTGGAGTTTACAAAATCACCAAGTTTGAGTTGGCCTTTTATCATCGGTGAGTTCTCGAGCTTATGAAGAAAATTTAAGTTGTCAAACTAACTCAAGTTCCCCGAGGTCAAAATGCCAAAGCCGATTTTCTTGCCAAATTGGCTAAAGAAATGGCGAATATGGATGACGAATGGCCTATAATAATTATGGTGCATAATCGGCGAATCCTAGAGCCAGCATTACTACAATTCTCGCAGGCATAGGGAATACCAAATTCAAGCCAACAGGATGCAACTCCAGTTGATCCTCAACCTCCCCAACCAGTTGATCTCGAAGATCAACTTGAAAAACATCAAGTTCCTAAGGAAAGATGAGAGGCCAGTCAAGCTTCAGAATCATGGTGGCATTGTCTAGATGTCGAAGAAGAAGATGACTGGAGGCAACCTTTATAGATTATTTCAAAGAAAGTAAGCTACCAATAGACAAATTATTAGATGCTCAAATCAGAAAGAGAGCACTACGATATGCATTTTTTAACAATATATTGTATCGACGTGCCTTCGATCAAATGTGACTAAGATGCCTAGGGACTCGAGAAGCTGATAAGGTGATAGCAGAAGTTCACGAAGAACTTTGTGGAGCGCACCAATCAGGTCCCAAGATGGCAGTCAAAATTAAAAGAATGGGCTACTATTGGCCGACCATGGTCAGAGATTGTATCAATCATGCTAAGAGGTGCCATGAGTACCAGATCCACTATGATGTTATACATAAACCGCCAAATCCGCTGCACCCTACAATAGCATCCTGGCCATCTGAATGTTGGGGTACTAATGTTATCGGGCCGATAGATTCCCCATCATCAGTAGGACACCGCTTTATCTTGGCAGCAACCGACTACTTCTCAAAGTGGGTAGAAGCGGCTCCATTCAAAGAAGTTACGTCTGAGCACGTGATCAACTTCTTCACCCACAATGTTGTTTACAGATTTGGTGTGCCACGCCGCATAATCTAAGACAACAGAACTGCTTTCAAAAGTATAAAAATTTATAAGTTCGTTGATCGGCACAAAATCGATTGGCGATATTCATCAATATACTATCCAAGAGCAAATGGCCTGGCAGAAGCCTTCAACAAGACACTGGTGAAGCTGTTAAAGAAGATTCTCATAAAGAACAAAAGGGAATGGCATATGAAGATGGCAGAAGTGCTATAGGCCTTTCATACAACTTATAAAATGCCAACCAAAGCTACTCCCTACTCTCTAGTGTTCAGAGTTGAAGCTGTACTGCCATTAGAAGTTGAACTACCATCACTCCGGGTAGCGATTCAGAATGATCTGACTCAAGAACAAAATGCTCGCCTAAGAATGGAAGATCTCGATGCAATCAATGAAATCAGGTTGCAAGCCCAGCAGAACCTGGAGATCTATCAAGTAAGAATGACAAAGTTCTTTGATCGAATGATGCGTCTTCGATCATTTCAAGAAGGGGAATTGGTCATGGTGCAGAGAAGGCCAATCATCCCATACAGAAAAATTGATGGCAAATTTGTGTCCAACTCGGAAGGATCTTTCGTCATCGAGAAGGTATTTCAAGGAGGAGCTTATCAACTGATCGATCTGAATGGTCAAAGGCCCATGCCACCGATCAATGGACGATACCTGAAGAAATACTATGCATAAAATTGCCCCATAAAATGCTATGTTTAGAGTATTATACTTTCATGTCTGTTTGTCAGCACATACATTTCATATTTTGAAATTCTCTTATATTATGACAATGTATTTCAAAATCTCTCATCAGACTGTGGGTATTTTAAATATTTATTCGGGTCGACATTGCGTTGCATGCCGAAATCCCTGAATAAATATTTAAAATTATCAATTCAAATGTTGTTTTGTGCTAAAGAGTACATATACTCGATTTTAAAGTATATGCATGTGATCTCTAAAAGATCAAGATACCACCTTCTTCAATAAATCAAGGTTCAAAAGTCAAGAAAGGGACTTTTGTGACTACACACTCCTACAAATTGAGCCGGAAAAGCTTGA